AAAGAAACGACACAAACTAAGCCCCGACTCCCCCCCCTCCCCCTAGGACTGGCGTGGGTGGCGGGCATGTGTCACCCGACGTACTCCTGCACCATCAACGAGGGCACGAGCTTCGAGGCCGTCTACGTCATCACGCACGAGATGGGCCACAAGTAAGGAGAGCGAAATTACTGTTATAAAGGAATTTTGGGGGTTTCCGTAAGGGTCAAAATGGGAGAGGAAAGACAATTTGCGATGGTAATGACGTTTGTTTTCCCGTAAGTGTCAAACTATGATGACTAGTGATTATGCTAACTAGAGGATGGGTGACTATCTCTCTATCTATCAATCTATCTATCTATTTAGCTGTCTGCGTGTCTATCCATCTACCCATGTATAAATGTAACAAGCATACAGTCTGGAAATAATATACTAAATATAAAGATCCATTGAATGGTTCCAGCCACTGATGATAGACATAAACACTACCCAAAACCAACAAAATGGTAAGTATAGGATAATTCTAAAACATTTTAATCCCAACTGAAGGGTAACTAAATAGACATTGAACCGCATCCATGTTGACAAATGCAGAAACGGTATGAATGAGACTGGATATCTTCACAATACAAGAGATGTATTTGACCGGTTTCGATTACGTCTTCATCGAAACCGGTCAAATACATCTCTTGTATTGTGAAGATATCCAACCTCATTTATACCTTTTCTATAAATATTTTTTTGCCTCATTCATACCTTTTCTATAAATAGACATTTTTTTTCTATTCCAGCCTCGGCATGTCCCACGACGGATCTGCAGAGGACCAGAACCAGTGCAGCGCCGATAAGCATATCATGTCATCTTCTACTGGTCCTGGAAAAGTTACTTGGTCCTCCTGTTCCAACAAAGAACTGCAGGACTTCATCGAGAACAGCGAGTGAGATGCTTTTGTTCTTGTTCTCCGATGTGGTATTAAGGGGAATGCTGCAAGGAGTGATTTGCCCGTTTTTCCCCTCCTCCTAATCTAAGGGTGCTGCAAAAATTATTGTGTTGGAATGATTTTAAAAAGCTGTAATAACCTTTTTTTTCTTTCGCTTTCTCTCGTTCTCTCTCTCTCTCTCTCTCTCCCCCTCCGCTCCTTTCTCTCTCTCCCCATGCATAGAAACACCCACCGTAGACCTACATATCTACATATCTGTCCCTAGCATCAAGTACAAGTGCCTTACTAATTCTCACACATTACACATCACACACACACACACACAGAGTCCTCTCATCGTGACCTTAACCCCGCCTTGACCTTTCCAGCTTCCCTCTCTCGTGCCTCGATGACCTGGCCAGAGGACCTCGCGAACTCGATTTCCACGGTGAACTCTTACCTGGCGAGCGGTATACGGTGACCCAGCAGTGCACCTTCGCCCTGGGATCCTCCTTCAAGCCCTACGTCACGAGCAAGAATCCTTATAATGTAAGTGGGCATCTTCGAGGAGTGGGGAAGGAGTGAGGAAGGAGTGGAGGGATGGGGAAGGTGTGGGATGGGGAAGGAGTGGGAGAGTGGGGAAGTGGGGGAGTGGGGAAGGAGTGGGGGAGTGGGGAAGGTGTGGAGGGATGGGGAGGAGGGGAGTGGGAAGGAGTGGGGGAAGGAGTGGAGGAGTGGGGAAGGAGTGGGGAAGGAGTGGAGGAGTGGGGAAGGAGTGGGGAAGGAGTGGGGAAGGATCTAGGAAAAGCGGTTTTTAAGGGGCGGTGATGGGTATATATATATTTGGGGGTGAAATATATTTTTTAACGTAACCTTTCTAGTCATGTTGCATCTTCAGAAGACCGAGGAATTGGTAAAATAACTAATTCAACACACACACCACACACACACACACACACACACACACACACACACACACACACACACACACACACACACACACAGATTATAAAGCACAGCACAGTATCACAACTGGCTCCCTCCACCCCCAGAACGTGTGCCGAGAGGTCTGGTGCCAAAACACGACGCACGCCATGAGAACCCACCCGGCACTCGAGGGCACCTCCTGTGGCATCAAGAAGGTGTGTGAACTTGTAGCCTGAAGTAAACTGAATCGTGTTTAAAAAAAGAATGTCTATATATCCATCTGTTTATCTGTCTATCTATAGCACTGTCTTTGTATATTTATAAACACACACACACACACACACACACACACACACACACACACATATATATGTGTGTGTGTGTGTGTGTGTGTGTGTGTGTGTGTTGTGTGTGTGTGTGTGTGTGTGTGTGTGTGAGTGTGTGTGTGTATGTGTAATTATGTATGTATGTATGTCAGTCACTCTCTCACTCTCTCCCTGTTCACTAGAATTTTTTGTATAACTAACACTCTGGCAGCTAGTTTGATTGAGTTTATAGCTAAAAATCTAATCTTTCCTATTTACTGTTAAGTTTAATACAACCGCAGAAACTGAGGCTAAGATTTTCCATTTCAGCTCGCGTTAAAGGCGAGAGAGAGAGAGAGAGAGAGAGAGAGAGAGAGAGAGAGAGAGAGAAGAGAGAGAGAGAGAGAGAGAGAGAGAGAGAGAGAGAGAGAGAGAGAGAGAGAGAGAGAGAGAGAGAGAGAGAGAGAGAGAAGAGAGAGAGAGAGAGAGAGAGAGAGAGAGAGAGATGAGAGAGAGAGAGAGAGTGAGATAAGAGAAAGAGAAGATAGATAGATACTCCCTTGTACCCTCTTTCTCAGTTCTGCGTGAACGGAGGCTGTACCGACAAACCCGACATAGCGGCCACGGTACCAACCACGACCCCAGGTACGACTCGCAAGGCCGCCACCACCACGACCCTGCCTACCACGACTGTGTCCAACAAGAAGAAAGTCACCACATTCTTCGGCAGAATACGTGACTTGTTCAGAAGGTAAATATTAAAATCCCGGTGGATATATATATATATATATATATATATATATATATATATATATATATATATATATATATATATATATATATATATATCCTTTCCTTTTATTTTTTTCTTTGTTTATTTACAATAGGATGGTTGTTGCTCATACCATTTACGTGCATTTTTGTTTATTCATATAAAGGAAAGATATTGATCCTCGTTTTGCCTGTCTGTTTTTTAATTTATTTATTTAACAGGAAAGGATCTCTCTTTTTTTTTTTATTTATATATTTATTTATTTATTAATTTATTTTTTGCTAGCGTTCACTCAGCAACAAGAGGCGAATCCTTTCATTAACTTAATAAAGACTGCCTCTTCCAGATTCCGTTTCTATGCCATTTTCCTCTCACTTCGCAACACCCTCCCCCTCCTCTTCAAAGCAACACTCACTTCCACAGGCACCTCTCCCTCAAAGTCAATATCTTCTTCCTCTTCATGAAAAAAAACCTTTTCCCCCCTACAGTCACCCCTTCCTCAGAAATGACACGTCTACCTCTTCATAAAGCTCCCTTTTCTTCTACAGGCACCTCTCCCTCTCCCTCTTTCCCTTCACATAACCACATTCTTCTCCCACAGGCACCTCTCCCTCTCCCTCTTTCCCTTCACAAAACCACATTCTTCTCCCACAGGCACCTCTCCCTCTCCCTCTTCCCTTCACATAACCACGTTCTTCTCCACAGGAACCTCTCCCTCTCCTCTTTTCATCATACAACCACATTCTTCTCCACAGGTACCTCTCCCTCTCCCTCTTTCCCTTCACAAAACCACATTCTTCTCCCACAGGCACCTCTCCCTCTGCCTCTTTCCCTTCACATAACCACGTTCTTCTCCCACAGGTACCTCTCCCTCAGAAGTGAAATGCCTCGCTCTGTCTTCCTCCTGTCCTCTTGGAAGCTCACCAACAGAACGGGCTGCACGGCCGAGTGCGGCGGCGGCTGGGTGGAGGGCCAGGTCGCCTGCGCCGCCAACGAGGGAAACGTTATCCTCGAGGACGACATGTGTGACCCTCTCTCTCGTCCGGCGGTGAGGGAGGTCTGCAACATCGCCCCCTGCGTTGGCACTTCCCGGTCAACCACTCCGAAGTTGCCCTCGTCTTAGTCAACCGGCGTCTGAGTTCCTAATAAAGCGTCTTGGTGTGTTCGCTTGTGGTAGACTGGACGGTGGTTGGGTTGTCGGGCTGTCATGGCGACGACATGTGCGTCTGCCTTCTCTTTTCTTCGTCAAAGATGGCTCCTCTTTCGCGCCGATTTCTAGATCTTTGCGCGAAAATGTGTGCAGCTTTGAGTCCTTTTGCCAGATCCATCTCATGTTTCCGAAACTGACTTTAAATCATTACCGTCATGTTTTCAGCCGATTCTCCTCATGGATTTCCGATTTTCTGTTTCTTGTTATACACGCCAATATTCTACAATTTTTTTATGTTTCGTATTTGTTAGTACTATTATTGGTACTGTACATTGCTGACGCAGTTATTATCATTATCATTGTTATTATTACTTTTACTATGGTAGTTATTATTACCGGTAAAGTAACAACATATATATATATATATATTATAATATATATATATATATATATATATATATATATATATATATATATATATATATATACATATATATTTAGAAATGATTTTGCTGCTGATTTTTATTAGCATTCTTATCATAAAACCTGAAATCATTACCTTAAGAATCATTATTATCCATATCATCATTAAAATTGTGATAAGTATCATATTTACTATAAATATAACCATTGATGATGTTACTATCTCGTACTCATCACCAGTATTTCTGCTCTTTATACTTATTTATTCATATTTATCTTATATTTATTTAGTATTTATACCACGTCCAATACTATCCTTTAATTTCTATTTGATTTACGCCACCACAATCACCACCATCATCACCATCATCACCATCATCTCACATATTCCTGCTTCAGTGCAGATTCATACCCTATTAGCCCCATCGTTAGCAATTGTGATATAAACTTTGGCATTTGATAATAGGCCCCTGGGATAAAAAAGAGGAAAATTTAACACAGACACTCCGTCCATACTTTGTGAT